GACACCCCTCCTCAGATGCCTCGCCTCTGCCTGTCCCCAGCCTTGGATGCACCATCCGACCCAAGGGAACGCAGACGCCACAGGAAGGGGGAACCCTGCACTAGGAGTCCAGAGTCTTACGTTCCAGCCCCAGTTCTATCCCCAATTTGCTGCGTGGTGGCACTGCCCTCTCTGGGATTCATTGCCTCACCTGTCCATGGGACTAACCCTGTCACCTGTCTGAAGATAGAGCCCCTCCCAGCCCTGAGGTGGCTGACTGCAGAAACCCCCACGTTCCCCCACCCAACCAGCCCGCTTACCTCTGAGGGCCACGCTGAGGAGGGCCTCCTGGCTGAAGCGCTGGCGGGCTGAGTTGGTGGCCACACAGCGGTAGGAGCCCCTGTCCCTCTCCTGAACATCCAGGATCTGAAGGACGCCATTGGGAAGAGTGATGAACCTTGGGAAGAGGAGAGAGGGCAACTGTGAGGTGGGCAGGGGGCCCACAGGGAGGGTGGCTCATCATAAAAGAAATGCAAATTAGAAGTATAAGGTAGCATTTTCACATATTAGAGTGGTGAAAATAAAAAGATTTAATAACACCCTGTGTGGATGAGGGAATGGGGGAAAGTCACTCCTGCCTTGTTGGTGGCCATGCCAATACCGTCCTTCCTGGGCAAGTTGGTGATATCTGAACGTCAAAACTACAGGGACCTTTTGACCCAGCCATGCTACTTCTAGGATTCTATCCCACAGATATTCTCAAACATGTGCACAAAATCATATGTCAAATGATACTCATTCCACCATTGTCTGTAATAGCAAGAAACTGGAAACAACTCAAGTGTCCATCTGTAGGGCAGGAACTGGCTAAATTGGTTTGGGAACGTTCACGTACTGGAACGCCAGGCAGCTGTTAAAAAGGAGTGTTCCACGTGTGCTGACAGAGCGTGATCTTCAAAATGTGTTTTGGTGCAAAACATGTGTATGGACATGTACATTTGTATGTTTGCATATGCACCGAATGTCCCTGGTAAGGATGGTTGTCTGTGGGGAGGGGGCCTGGGATCCTGGGAGCTAAGGATGGGAGGGTCTTTCTTTTTATTATATAGCCTTGTGTACCATTTAAATTTTTCTACCCCCTGCCTGTATTATTAATACATCCTTCCTCCCTTGATAAAATACCCTTTATGCAAGATGTCTGTGAATAATGGCAAATAAAACTACAAAAAGAAAAAAATACCCTTTATTCACACTATCTCCTCTGACCCCCCAAAAGATAGAGACACCTTCATTTTACTTGGAGACAAAACTGAGGCTTAGAGGGAGTAGGGTATTTTCCCAGGGCTCATAGATGGAGCATAGTTAAAACCTGGACCCAAGTCTTCTGGTGCCAAATGCCATGCTCATCCCACCTGCCTCTCTCAGCAGCCATTAGATGGCCCAGCATGCCATCTAATCATGCCATCTCCCAGTCCCCGCAGGCCCTGGTCAACACGTACATCACGTAGGAGGGGCATGATGGAAGAAGGTGGTATCCTCTGCTCTCTTGGTGGATGGGATAGAAAGATCCAGAGACCTTGCTTGAGAGACAGTGTAATCCAGGGCAGGGAGATCTCCACAGGGGCTGGGATGGTGGGGAGCAGAGCGGGCTTTGTCCCAAGCATAGAGTGAGTGGTTCCCCCTGAATCCCCCAAATGGGATCCCTGCCGGGTCAGCTCCAGGTTGAAAGTCCCAGTTTGTCAACAGCGCAAATGGTGCAGGCCTCTGGGGTACAGGCTGGGCCAGGGTCAGAGAGGGAATGGGGCAGCTATGTGCTTGGTGGGGATCCCTTAGCTCCTGCGGAAGTGGGATCTGACAAAATCTAAACATGGGAGAGGGGAAGTAGCTCAAGGGCTGAGGGAGGAAGGGTATTGGGAGAGAATTCTGGACATGGGCCCAGAAACCTGCTGTGGCCCAAAGACTTAGAGAAAAAAACATAAACCTGCATCGCTCCTTCCCTCATCCCTGTGGCAAACCCACCTCTGCCCCCAGCCTCTTGGCCTCAGGGCCAACAGCTGCCTACATAAGTGCTGGGGCAGAGGGGAGAAGGGGTCGGGGAGGCTAGGGGTAGTCGGAGGGAAAACCCAGGCCAGGACCCAGCCTGCTGCCGCGGAAAAATGGATGGAAAAGGACACGTGGGGAAGGACAAGCGGGACCCATCTAGGAAACAATCCCCTGCCCCCCAGGTCTGCTCCACCTAACAAGCTCTGGCCCCAAGACCCTCTTCCTCTGCCCTTCCTCCTTCAGTCTAGCTGGCTGTGCTGCCAGGAGCTGCCCACAATTCCTGACCCCAAAGTGCTCTGGTCTTTCCAGGGAAATAGGGCTCCAAGTACCCAAGAGCTAATGCCTCCTTTGACAAATAGCATTTCCTCAACTA